GAAAGGGTCGCGGGCTGTTCCAGTGGAAGTGGCCATCTTCATGACCGCCCGGGCGCCTTGATGCCATTGCGTTATCCCCTCGGGGGAAAGAATTTTGGTGGTCGGGCCAGGGTGGAGAGGAGGTGGAAAGGATATGCAGTCAAGACTCAAGGTGTGGTCATGGGGATGGGATAGGTGGGAGTGGGAGAATTGGCATGTCGTCAATGGGGCAGCAGGCGGGTGGGGGTGCAGCAACGAACAAGGAAAGGGAAAAAAAAACATACATGATGCAGAGCTCAGGGCGATTGACTCCGTGGTGGGTAATCTGGTGATTGCATGCTCAGCAGCAGCTCTCTGTCGGTCTGGCTGCCGGCCACGCCACGGCTCCACGGAGGGGCGATGGCAGATGGCAGATGGCAGATGGAGAGGTGCCGGACAGGACAGAGCGGTGGCGGTTTCTTGGATGCGATGCTGGGTGGTGTCGATGTGTGTGTCGCGTGTCGCGTGGGAGCAGGCAAAGATGGGATGAAAGGGGGGACCCGCGAAGAAGCGATGAGGGAGTGGAGGAGATGGGACGCAGGTGCTGGTGCTGGTGGTTTCTCCCGTCGTGGGCTCTTCGCTCTCGCCCTCGCTCGCCCTCGCCCTTGCCCTCGACCGCGGAACCTGGGGGCCCTGGGACCTGGGACCTGGCGATGGCCGTCGGTGCAGGCCGCGATGCGCGATGGATGGCGATGGAAAGCGTGTCACAGGCCGTCGCTGATGCTGCGACAGGACGGCGCGCGCAATGTCGGCGTGTCTTGATGGCGCAAAGGGGGCAGTCGTTGTCGTCGCGGGTGGTGTTTGGGGAGGAGAATGGCTGAATGGAACTGAAGATTGGACCAAAGTGGATCTCGAATTGCTGTGGTGCTGTGCTGTGCTGCTGCTGGCTGCGGCGGCCACGGGCCAGCCTGCCTGCCACGCACCGCTGGCCAAGTCTCGTCTCTCCCACACACTGCCCGTGCACCGTGCACCCGTGGATGCTGCCCGCGCCCGGGCCATGCACAGCTCCATGACCCGTGGGTACGTACCTTCAGGGTCAGGGACGCCTGCAAAGGCCGGTGATTGGCTCAGCCCTTCAAGGTCTCGACAGGCCCCACTGTTCGACATTGCACAGGGACACGCTAGCCCGTCTCGCTTTTTCCACACAGTGGCGCGGCGAGCGGTTAAAGATGCAAAAAGATCAATCCCGCACCCCTGTAATCCCCGGCACTCGCACTGTCCAAATGAGAATCTCGAATTGTTGGCCAATCAGGCCGCCGTCCGCCATCCCCTCTTGGCGATCTGACTCTGCAAACGTTTGCCTCCCGATGGCAGAGAGTGGAGGGGCACGACGGTGGAGGGGACCTCGAGGGGAGTCAGGTTGCGAATAGTTTTGGATTCCAAAGGAACCAAAATACCAACAAAAATTGAATATTGCCCAGTCGACCGGTTCCTTGGATCTGGACTCACTGCATAAACTGCCCAGGCCTGCAGACCAACGCACCACTCACCCATCTCTGCAGCATACCGAAGTTACATCTCGAGATAATCGACATAGTTCAGACGACGGGCATGCATCTTTGGCCTTGATATCGACACACCTCTCAAGTCCTGCCAACGATCTGATATTCTTCTCCCACAAGAGGGGGGCAACTCCATTCCGTCACACCCAGGCCAAGATGGCCTCCCAACACCCCGAACAGCCCCCCGCGGCCGCCACCGAGGCCGTCCTGGTCAAGTCGGTCGAGATGCCGGCCGACGCCCAAAAGGTCGAGGAGCTCGACTTTAACAAGCTCGCCGGCCGGCCCATCACCGTCGACGACCTCTACCAGGGCATGAAGCACATGGGCTTCCAGGCCTCGTCCATGTGCGAGGCCATCCGCATCATCAACGATATGGTCCGACCACTCCTATCCTCGTTGCATTTCTATGGGAAAGGGAAGGGGAAAAACATGGGACGCTGACACCCCCTCCAGCGCGCCTGGCGAGACCCCTCGACCGACGACAAGACGACCATCTTCCTCGGCTACACCTCCAACCTCATCTCGTCCGGCCTCCGCGGCACCCTCCGCTGGCTCGTCGAGCACCGCCACGTCTCGGCCATCGTCACCACGGCCGGCGGCGTCGAGGAGGACTTCATCAAGTGCCTCGGCCCGACCTACCTCTCGTCCTTCAGCGCCCCCGGCGCCGCCCTGCGCGCCCAGGGGCTCAACCGCATCGGCAACCTCGTCGTGCCCAACGCCAACTACTGCGCCTTTGAGGACTGGGTCGTGCCCATCCTCGACGCCATGCTGGCCGAGCAGGAGGCCGCGCGCGGCACCGACGCCGAGTTCAGCTGGACGCCCTCCAAGATCATCCACCGCCTCGGCAAGGAGATCAACGACGAGCGCTCCGTCTACTACTGGGCCTGGAAGAACGACATTCCCGTCTTCTGCCCCGCCCTGACCGACGGCAGCCTGGGCGACATGCTGTACTTCCACACCTTCAAGTCGTCGCCCGCCCAGCTGCGCGTCGACATTGTCGAGGACATTCGCAAGATCAACACGCTCGCCGTGCGCGCCAAGCGGGCCGGCATGATCATTCTGGGCGGCGGCGTCGTCAAGCACCATATTGCCAACGCGTGCCTGATGCGCAACGGCGCCGAGTCGGCCGTCTACATCAACACCGGGCAGGAGTTTGACGGGAGCGACGCCGGGGCGAGGCCCGACGAGGCTGTGTCGTGGGGCAAGATCAAGGTTGGGGCCGACGCCGTCAAGGTAAGCACGCTTCTTGCTCATTATCAATTTCGCTAACCCTAGAATCTAGGTGTATGTCGAGGCGACGACAGCTTTTCCCTTCATCGTGGCCAACACCTTTGCCAAAGACCAGCAGGCCAAGCCAGAGGCAGAGGCAGGGCAAAAGCCGTAGACGCAGCCAATGCCCGATACAATGCAAAAAAAAACACATCTCAAAAGACAAACCCTTTTAAAGAGCCTCCTTCTTCTCCTGTTCCGCCCGTAACCTCGCGGCAAGCACCGCCCTGCCCACGCTGCTCTCGTGCGGCTTGCCCACCTCGGCCGAGATCCAGGCCCCAATGTCCGCCACGGCATCCAAGTCCACACCCGTGTCCATGCCCAGACTCTCCAAAAAGTACACCATGTCCTCCGTCGCCACATTCCCCGACGCCCCGGGGCTGTACGGACACCCGCCCAGCCCGCCCACGCTGCTGTCAAACGTGCGGATACCGTGCTCAAGCGCCACGGCTGTATTCACCAGCGCCTGGCCGTATGTATCGTGAAAGTGCATGGCCACGTCCTCGTTTCGGATCCCCGCGCTCCGCAGACACGTCAGCAGCTCCTTGGTGCGTGGCGCCGTCCCCATGCCCGTTGTATCCCCCAGCGCGATCTCATCGGCGCCCATCTCGAGCAGCGACGTCGCAATCTCGGCGACGCGGTGAGGGTTCACGTCGGGGCCCTCGAAGGGACAGCCGAGCACGACCGATATGTAGGCGCGCACGCGAAGGTCGGCATCCTTGGCGGCGGCGATGACGGCGCGGAAGCGGTCGAGCGAGTCGGCGACAGAGCAGTTGAGGTTGCGCTGCGAGAAGGACTCGGTGGCGGAGGCGAACACAGCCATCTCGAGGGCGGGCTTGGATTTGCGGCGCTCAGATGGGGGGAAGGCGAGACGCTGGGTTTCGCTCTCGTACGACGAGGGGTGTTGGGCGAGGATGGCCGAGGCGGCCTCCATGCCTTTGATGTTGGGGGCGAGGAACGAGAAGGTCAGGGGTCGCGGGGAGGAGGGCGGGTGTTCGAGGAGGTGGGAGAGGATCTCGCTAGAGTTGCTCATCTGTTTGGTGGTCTCCGTCAGAATCTCTGTCTCGCCGTTCCTGCTGTGAGTAGAGGGTGCGGGGCTGGCCTCACCTGGGGCACCCATTTTGGCGAGACGAAGGCGCCGGCCTCGATGCTCGACAGCCCCGTCTTGGCCAGGCGCTCAATCAAGTCCAGCTTGACGGGCAGAGGGATAGCCTTTTTCTCATTCTGCAATCCGTCACGGGCGCCGACCTCGACGATCTTGATGTAGTTGTCGCGGCGTGGTTCGGGTGCGCTGCCGTCGGGAGGCGAGGTGGTGGCCGTGGCAAAGCGGCGAGGGGCGCCGGCGATGGTGCGTGTTGGCGCAGCCGTCGCGCGTTGGGCCCAGCAGCGGGGGATGTGACGGGAGAAGAGGGTGAGCCTCGCCATCTTGTGTGTGGTGGTTTGCTAACCCATGGACGAGAGGAAGATGGGTGCTGTCGTGGACTGCTGAGGGACGGTGGGCTGTTGGCGGGTAAACGAAAGCGAAGCTATGGCCACTGGAGCCGAGGCGGGCGAGCGATGGAGGTCTGACGTCGCTTAGCGTCGGGATTGGAGGACCCTGCGGAAGTCACGTGCACAGGCGGGTGCTCTGGCCTTGCATCGCGTTTTCCTTGGTTGATGCTTCAACAACTTGCAGCGACGATGGCTCGTCGCCGGCAAATTTGGCATCAAAAAACACATTGGCAGCGGCAAAGGGTCGAGATCATCCCTTTTACTGGGAAGCCCGCCCTTCCAGGCAGATAAAATGAGTTTCGGTGCGCCCGTCCGTCCCGAGCAAACCTCATCCTCTCAGCTCTGCTCTCAGCGCATCACTCATCTCGTTGGAAGGTTGATCCACTCCATGCCGCGTCAAAATTTTGCCCTTTGTGTGTGACCCGCTCTGTCCGACGTTGCCGGAGCTCTCCATGTCGGCGAGCAAATAGACGTCACAAGCCGGCCATATCCCTTTTCCCTCGGACATGTCCCGTGGGAGGTTCGCTTGCAAGCGCATTCGGACCATAATCCAACTCAGAACTCAAATGTTGACCAGCCGCCCGGCGACCGCCGGACAACAACCATCATGAACTGAGCTGTATGTAGTATGAAGCTTCTGTCCTCCCCCGACGACAATACAGTAACTTCACTTGTCGAGACAAAAAGAACAACTAAAATTCTACTAGAAGCAGCAAAAGCTGGGCGACCCAGGAATCGAACCTGGGTTTCTTCGGACGTTGTGAAGACCACAACGAAGTGTACTGACCACTATACTAGTCACCCTTTTTAGATGCTGAGTCATGCAAGATGGGTCGCATATCGTCCCTCTAGGCTGGTGGATGCACTGCAACGGTGACCGACCCTTCTCCTCTCACGCGGTCAACTTTTGACGCCGTGACTCGTGATGCTGCAGGATAACCCTACATCACTGGAGACGCTTCGCTTTCGATCTGGCAAGCCCAAGTTCAAATATACCTGTTTATCTGCTGACGGTTCTCGAGGCATTTGGTGATCACCATCGGGGGATTATGAATAGGGGGTTGTCGAGGAAAAGGATGGAGGTGTCCAACCAACTGAACAGGACTAAATGGCGTGATATCCAAGAAAAGGCAGCGTCTGGAAGCTTTCTCAACATCCCTGGACAGGGTTAATTACACGCTGCATTGGTTCAACCGTGTTTTGTCTTCAGCCGGCTGGATATTCAACGGGTTATAGTGTGGCCTCCTCGTCTGAGAGGCCACGGCAACCCGCGCGTGCGGTCGGCACAGTGCTTCACAGGAATGTACAGTACGGCTCCTCCCTCACGGGAGACTCTTCCCACGCTGTTCGCCCTCCCCTTATCCCATCATTTCGCCTTGCCATCGCTAGCTGTTGGCAACTGTACTCCAGGCACCTATTCATTTGTTGGCCCATCCTGTCGGGACCGCTTGGGAAGGCAAAGCCAATGAACGGGGGGATTCCCGCGAGTTTATACGCGGACAAGGCAAGTGACACGCAACCTACCTATATTTGATGGCTGCCAACTCGAAAGATGTCTCGCACTGGCTTTCTCTCAAGACGAAATATAGACCACACCCACACGTCTGGGAGGTCGACGCCGAATGCAACCACCCTCTCCCATCTTTATTCGCGACAGTTCAAAGCTCAAATCGACCCCTATTCATCGCTGCGCCTCTTCGTCCAAGCCAAAAGCTTGTCCTCTGGCTTGCCGAGACCCCGGAGTCAATCAAGACAACTCCGGTTCTTCATGTTCGGGCACCCACCCCGAGTCCCGTCTCATCACTCGACCATTGCCCGACAACAGCAACGGGCAACACCACCTCGATTGATCTCCCTACCAGGGAGAGCGGACCACACAAAATGGTCCGCCGCAGCACAGCAATAAGCCTTCTCGCTCTCGCCCTCCTATTCCTCATCGGCAAGCTGCCGCGCGAGCTGTTCGGGCCGCATTTCTTCCTCCAAGTCGTGGCCATCAACACGCTCAATGCCTTTTCGGGTGCGACGACGGCCTGCAGCATACTACAGTACTACCGCATCGGGAAGCAGGCGTCGTCGACGAGGGAGAGCGACAACCGGTGTCTGCTTATAGGCGTAGGCGTGGGCACCGGCATGGCGACGTACGGACTGTGGGGGCGGGTTCATGGGCTCTATGGTGGGATGGCGGGGGATGTGAGGACGTTTTTATGGAAGGTGTCGAGGGGGAGGAAGCCGTGGGATTGATTATCAGGGAATGGCTGGTGTCGGGATATAATTTTCGGCTTGTTTTCCATAGTAAATGATATAGACGCAGAGAAGTCGCAGGAGACAATCTATTACTTGATTCGGGCATTCTTCAACAATGACAACTTGAAGAAAAATACTGGGAGCCCGACCCGACTGAGGGAACGAATGGTGACATCAAGTGCCTGCCTAGGTCCACTTTGAGTGCCTAGTATGTGCCACTCCCAATCAAACGCAAAGAAGGAGCAATGCCCTTGCGCAGTCCTAGTCATCCCTTTCAATCACGTGTGTGTCTTGCCTGCTAGGGCTGCTCCTGGCCGAAGAAGGGGTCGTCAGCCCATTTGAAACGGCAGGCCCAACTTCACCTTTTCCTCACTTTTTCAACCAGTCATCCCTACTCCCACGACAACCACATAGGGCACGACATACCGAGCAAGCGACCACGGCCAAACACACTGCAATTAAAAGTCCGCATACAATTCCACCATGAGGCTCATCAACACGTCAACACTACAACTTCAATTCTTCACCGACGACTCGGACTTGAGCCACCCACCATACGCCATCCTCTCGCACACCTGGGGCGATGAAGAGGTCACCTTCCAGGAGATAAACGGCAGGGGAGAGTCGGATATACCAAAAAAGGGCTGGAAAAAGATTGTCGAAACCTGTCGCCTTGCCAAACAGTACTCCCTCGGGTATGCATGGGTCGACACATGCTGCATCGACCAGTCAAGCAGCGCCGAGCTGAGCGAGGCCATCAACACCATGTTCAAGTGGTACAGACGCTCCACTGTCTGCTTCGTCTTTCTCGAAGATGTCGAGTTTCCTCAGACCCTTGGTACACCCGGGTCAGGTCTGCAGCCCGGCACTCCCGAGTTTCGAGACCACCTTCGAACCGCGAGGTGGTTCAGCCGCGGCTGGACGCTCCAAGAGCTAATTGCCCCCAAGCTTGTTGTCTTTTACGACGCATTGGGGTTCAAGCTGGGAAACAAGACTAACCTTGCCGACGATTTGGTCGAAATCACAAACATCGACCGCGCTATTCTGCACGGCCACGTGGACAACTTATTGCCCATGATTCCCGTGGCCAAAAAGATGTCGTGGGCCGCGTCCAGACGGACCACGAGGGTCGAGGATATCGCCTACTGTTTGCTGGGCATCTTTGATGTCAATATGCCGCTCTTGTACGGCGAAGGGGCAAAGGCGTTTTCACGTCTTCAAGAAGAGATTGCCCGTTCCAGAAGCGACCTGAGTCTTTTTGCTTGGTCATCTCCACCGAGCGAGAAGCGGAATTCCTCGTTTTACGAACAGATTTCGGGAGTCTTCGCCTCTTCGCCCTCCCAGTTCTGGGACGGACACAGAATGAGACTCCCTGGATGGGCTTTTGAGCAAGACGTCGAACCCGGAGTGGCCGACCGAGGATTCCTACGCATCAACCAGCGGAACATCTTTACGTACGGAGGTGACCGCGCCAGACTCATACTCGACTGTCTGGTCACAGACAGTGAGGCGCTATCCGGCACGTCATGGCTGGAGGTGGACCTGAGAAAGACCGGGTCCTTTTACGTCCGAACGGGCCCCTCCGCCCTTTTCAAACGCAGTTCAAGGAGGATGCGCCAGGACCCAGGACCGGGAGCGATGTCGCCGCGAGAGTCTGTGACAGTGGCAACGACAATATCGACAGCGCTCGTCCATGCGTATCGGCACCAGCCGCTACAGAAATCACACGAACCCTGTCTTTTCTACACCAGTAGCCTTCGGGCTAACGTGAAAGAGACCCAAGGTGTTGATTGCTCGATCCCCTTGACGATCCCGAAGCAGATAGTCGAGGTACGATCGCCGACGGGAAAGAATCCAACTGAGGACACACTCGCGAGAGCATTCATTTCCCCTGGTGACACTATCTTCCTGGCGAGGGGGGGGGTTTTCTCGACAAAGGGCATACACGGTTCGAGATATCACCACTTATTCGAGTTCAATTCAACCCCCCTGGCTCTGATATGGTGTCAAGACATGTCCAAGGCCTCGAGGCCTTATCCATGGGCTGTATTGCTCCACCCAGGGGCCTGCCAGGCAGTCAGCGGTGATGCCATTCTTCACCCCGACGTCTTCCGGATCACGGCCTCTGAGGGAGGCCTGTCGGAAGAGACGCGATCAAAGATCCTGCACGACTATGTGTTTCAGTGGTACTCGGACGATACTGGTGCCTACAGGACGGAGAACATCCCCACAAGGGTGCGACTGACCGAGCAATTCGGCGATACTAGAGTTGTGCATGAGATTGAAGTCCATGTTCTTCCCGGGCTTAGGGGATTTCTTCCTTTTCTAAACGGGTTCCCCGCCTCTCTTGTTCTTTCATATCGCCAGTTACCCGAGGTCCAAGAAGCTTAGGAAATCGACAAGGAGCGGCGGAGGCGGTCATGCAACGAGCGGGCACGATGGTGTCTCGACGGCAGAACAAACCCAAATACTACTTGACGTAATCACAACGCACCTCTTCGGCCCTCATGATATGACACCAACATCTGTCCCTCAAAGTCATCTCCCCCAAACCCCAGAAATAGCACCCCCTCGAGCCCCCATCCCATCATCTGGTGATGCACTAATCGAGGATGCAACACCGCGCGGGAGCTGAAAGAGCTCCAGAGGCGCAGCCCCCCGGGCCAGGCCAATGGCGCCCGCTGGCGAGCCCCCAGCCGGGTAAACTGCCACCAGAGAGAGATTCGGCTTAATATCCGGGCTCGACGCCAGACGACGGTGGCGCTCCTTTGCACACCACCACGGCGACGTCTCGCCCGGTCCATGGCGGGCATCGCGAGGGCACCGCCAGGGGGAGAGTGTCTGTTCCGGCATAAGACGGGTGGAATCACGCCGACTACGTGCTGTCGTGAGAGGTGGAGGAGGCGAGTTTGACAAGTATATAAACTCCCGCTGGATCACCAGTGTTGAGTCCAGCTTTGTTCAAGTCCTCAGACCAAACACTCAAAAACAACCTCAAACTCAGTCACCACAACAACAACCCACCAACAAAATGCATCTCCCCCTCCTCCTCCTCACCGCCGCCGCCCCCCTCCTCGCCCTCGCCGCCGACTGCAACACAGCCAAGCTCTACCCCGTCACCTCCTACGTCTCGCTGTACATGCCCTTCCGCGGCAGCTCCATCGCCTGCTCGCTCGCCAAGGGCAACAACAGCCCGGCCGTCAGCGCGCTGCAGACGCAGCTGAACCTGTGCTACCGCAGCGGGCTCGACGTCGACGGCGACTTTGGGTCCAAGACCAAGGCGGCGCTGGCGGCCGCGCAGGCGGCGGCCGGCGCCGACCCCGACGGCGCCTACGGCCCGGAGACGCGGAGCAAGATCAGGTTCGGGACGTACTTTAACAGCAACCCGAACGATGTTGTTTGCCAGAGGTTGTCGCAGTGGTAGGGGTGGTGTTGGTGATGATGTGGGAAGGATAGGGGTGGGCAGTGGGGGTGCAAAGGGTGGTGCGAAGGAGGGGGAGGTCGTGGCGGATGCTGTCGAGTTTTCCTTTGTTGAGTTCATTTGGGTCGGATCAAGTGCA